CAGCTGGTAGCCTTGTACCTAGCTATTTCCCTTTCATTTCTTTCCTACGGTGATTATCACGTACTGAATTCTTTTCCACTGTTGTTAATTTGATTTTTTTCACAATTGAACAATTTGATTTTTATCCTTATGCTAGTAAAATATTAATAAAAATGGTACTTGACTTATCCAACCATTTGATATATAAAAATGCCATATCATAAATAATCCTTGCATTTGATATAGTACCATATACATTGAAAAGTCTGTAGGGATTGTGGTTTTGTAGGAAAACCCAGCAGCCAACAACAAACAGACATATAATGAAAGATCACTAGATCTGCAGGATTGTTGGCCAAGTTATTGGAAAAAACTCCATTCTCTTTTTAAATGGTGCCATGGGTTCTTTAACGTCCATCTGAATAGATATATGGGACCTCAATTAATTGTCTTATTCTGATAACACAGTATTCTCCAAGTAGTGCATGGAGTGTGAAACTGGATTATGAGCTCAAAGTTTTAACATGGGGTTTGAGTTTGGAATGTTTTTAATCAGAATTAAAGAGTGTTATCAACTGAACCAAGACAATGCATAGTTTGTTTAGACACAATACTCTAATAGATATAATCTTATATCACACAGTGCTTGATATTCATATGATGTTTAAATTAAATTGAATTTCTACTGCATATGAATTTGATATCCTTGATGTATTCGAGATAGTTTTACAAATTAACAAATGGAGACTAAAAGATCTATTGTTGGAGGTCCACTACATTTCTCATTATAAGCAATGAAAAGATCATGTTTTAACAACTAACATATAACAGACTTCAGTGTCACTGCCTGCTCTCATTCCTTTAATAATTGGGTCACCCTTCCAGGCAGCAGTTTCCTTCCACTTACATTTATCACCATATGGAGACCAGCTGAATAAAATCTGTTCATTTTTTTAAATTCAAATCTTGAATTAGATAAAAATTATTGGATCTGTCTGAGAATACAGAGGTGGTTGAGACAGGAGAGCAGATGTTTATTTACCTGGGACTCATTCATGACCTTGACTCCAAGTAAAGCTAGTCTGACAGAAATGTAGAATGTTTAGTGTTCAAAATAGAAGTAAAATTCTCCCTCTTATTCCAACTAATATCCTTCCTCATCCAAATTCATCACCAATAATTCTAATTAATCGGCTATCTGTGCAGTACCCCAAGACACAATGCTTGGCACCCTTCTTTTCCTTATCTACCTGCTCCCTTTCAGCAATGTCATCTGCAGAAATGGGGTCGACTTCCACATGTATGTGGATTACACCAAAATCTACTTCTCCTCCTCCAGCTCCAACTCCCAGTCCACTGATGTTCTGTCAGCTTGTTTGACAGACATCAGGGCCTGGATGAGCGCAAATTACCTGTAGCTGAATGTCAGCTAGACAGAAGTCATACTCTTTGGCTCCTGTCAACGTCTTCTCTCCTATGGGTCTGAACACCTCAACCTCCCTAGATTCTCCCTCAGACTCACCAACCTGTGCGCAACTTGGGTGTCAGATTTGAACTCCAGCTTTCCTTTCTACCCCACATCAGTTCTCTGACTAGGACTGCCTTTTTTCTGCAAATTTCCTGCAGTTGAATGTCGGCAACTCTGGCCTTCAATCCCTCCATCTTTCCCCCTACTTCCTCAGTTTCAACTCCCACCTAAAGAACTTCCCTTTTGATCGTGCATGTGGTCACTTGCCCTCTCCCTCTCCCTGTGGCTCGGCATCACACTCCGCCACTGTCAAGCGTTCCGGGGCGCTACCCCACGTGAAGGGCAAAATATAAATGCAAGTTGTGGTTTGCAGAATACTCTTGATCCAAATTGCTGCTGCATTTGCCTTCCTAACATTCATTTTATATCTAATTTATTTTATTCTGTAAAGTACTTTGAGATTAATATTTTATGTAAAGGGCACTCTTTCAATGCAAGTTATCAAATTCAGCAAAAAAGCAGGTGAATCCAACATACTAAAATTCTGTACAATTAGCAGGTGAGTCCAGAAATGCTACGCATGTGACTAGTGAAACATGATTTCACTAGCTTTTGCTTTTCACTTCGGCTTCTATCATAGGATTATAAAGGTTAATAAGACAGATTTTAAGATGAAATAGGGGTATCTTTGATCACTGGATTGCACTGCAGTTGAAAACCGGTTGATAAACTAACATGTTACCTTTGTCAGAAAACTGATGGGAAGAAACTGATGTTCATGGGAAAAAAACAGATCTTACCAAACTTGTTAAACTGAGCAGTATTTGAAGATAAAAAGATTCTCTTGCAGCTAACTGCTGAATTTTGCCTTTTTGTCCATTTTATATGTAGAGTGGAATATCTCACATAACATAGTCTGATAAGACGATTTAACATCTTCCTGCAATATTTTTCTTGACCTTATTGTAAATGTTATTTGCTCTTATTGTCTAAGCCACTCTCTCTGAAATGTCTGCAATTTCCAACAAACTACCATTTATACTCACCATGCACCTTTACACGTTTATCTGCAAATTTGTTCACATCCTTGATATTTTTCTTCAATTTTCATTCATCCACTTCTGAATTTCACATATATTGGAATTGTAGGTTTTTTTTCTAATTGAAGTAATAGATTTTAGGAATTATGATGTCGTTATATCTATTGTAGATCTACAACAGCAACAAATTACATTTGTACAGTGCTTTTCACATCGGGAGGACGTCCCAATATGCTGGACAGTCAGGAATTTGGACCCGAGCTGGGAGTTGGGAGCACAGGTGGTGGAGGGAAGGGGAAGGATGGTGCCCGAATGTTAGACCTGCTTTAAGTAATTCAAAACCGGTGGACGGAATAAAAATATCCAAACTGAAAGTGAACTGCCTTACCAGTCCTCATGTTGTATGAGTCTTTTTATATCACATGTTGGGATATCACGTTCACTGAATTAATTTATCGTATCTCAACTCTATTTGGAAGTTTATTTCAATCAATAGAAGAATCTAAAGTGTTGAAAGGATAGTATATTTATATCACTCGAGTACATTGTACACATGCATCTTCTCTGCTCATCCATAGCTCTACAGTCCGTGTCCTCTCCCATACCAGGCTTGAACCTATTACCCATTCCTTGCTCAGCTCCACTGGCTCCCCATCCCTCAGCAGATTGAATTCAAAATCCTCGTCCTCAAATTCAAACGTTTCCAAGTTGTTGGCTCCCATGCCTCTATGACTTTCTGCAAACCTACAGCCTCCCTCCACTCAGCAAACTCCAACCTGCTTCATATCCCCTGCTTATTCTGTCCCACCATCGAATGACTTTTAGCCATTCTACCCAGATCTCTGGAATTCCATCTTGGAGTCTCTCCATCTCCCCCCACCCCCAACTTTAAAGCCCACTTTAAGACCTATCATTTCAACCACACTTTCCTTCCTCCCATCCCATTCCTCCCCTCTTCAGCTGTCCCCACCCCAGCTGAGGCTCCCGCTGAGCTGTGTGAAGCATTTTGAGACATCCTCCTGACTTGAAAGGTGCTATATAAATGTAAAATGTTATTTTACTAAAAACAAAACTAAAATGGAAGCTAAACTATCAAAACACTTCAATGTCAAAAACATAATGACCAGTACATCATGAAAGAATAGCTTTAATCGATACATTTATATCAACAAACAAGACTCACAGTGTTAAAACAACAGAATAATACAGATTGAGACAAAAAGTAAATGCCCATGACTCCATCCCTTCCCCACCCAAAAAGTTGATGAAAATTTACAACCTTAAATGGTACCATAAATAAACTCATCAAAGAGTAAAATTTATGTATAATCTGACACAAATTAAGTCTTCAAAAGAAATTTGATGAACTGTTTCTGTAGCAAATCTCTGTTCATTTTGTATCCATCTATAATGGCTCTACACCTGTGATATCAGTCTCAAGTGAAAATCAAATGTGCCCATATTTTTAATATTTAACTTATTTTTCCCACTATTTTGGTCCGTGTCCTACTTTGTGACAGAAACAGAAAATATTAGACCTACAGTAATCACCAGGAAGTGTGAAACAATAGAATGTGTTTTTGGATTGAATTCCAATATTCTCTCCTTTATGGAGCAAAAGATAATGTCTGCTTTGTATTGCACTTATAGGTCTGAGATTCAGAATCCACAGTATGACCAAGCCTGATTGTGAATCACCCCACATCCAATCTAAGATACAACACTGGAACATGAACTAGGTACCACACTGAGCTTCTGATTTCTGCTAATTTTTGAATGGCTTTTTGTGACTTGTTACAATTTAGAAATACATTACTCATCTTACATGGGAGATTACACTCTGACCTAAAGCAGTGATTGAATATTATCCTCCCATTATTGGCACACATCACTAAACTTTGGTAAATATACTGACATAGGCACAATAAACTGTACTAATTGGCTACAGGTCATTAAATTGAACAGAATGTGATACCTTCTCTATCATCAGACAATTTGGTTATCCAAATTATATTTTTCCTCTAAACAATTAAAATAGAAGTACTTGACCATACGAATTCAAATACAATATCAGGTTAAGTAGATTATCAAGTGAAATAACTAACCTGATTCTTCCATTTTGTTTATCATTTGCTGATTTTTTAATCTGGTTATGAGTTACAGTAGTCATCCACAGATCACAAATAGTGTATCATGTTTACTACTAGAATTTTCCCCTTTATTTGTTAAATGTATTCATCGCTAATATAAAAGTTATTGTATTTCATAGTTTGTACTGTGTACATTAAAATAGATCTGTTTAACTTAATTTGAAACTGATCACTTAAGTGAGTCAAATCTGGAAAACATTACAGAAAAATTTACACTGGAGTTTTCCCAGGTCTTAGTTTTTAAAATATCGCGGCATATCAAATTTGCATAATGAATTATATTGCACATGGCGGTTAATGGTTCTGAAACTGAATCTTCGGCGAAAAAATAAATGGATAAAAGGATTGTCATTCCTTCATCAATCAAAAAGAAGTAGCCACCTCTGAGATTGTTCTGTTCACATAGTTCTGGTGACATCTAGATCCTGGGACAATATGTACAGACGAACTAATTTCAGTCACTTCATTGTGTCTCACTTCTGGTGGATGGGGAAAAATCATTGTTCTTCCAGATTCTCTGGGAAAAACTCTTTGAGAAATCTGCAGTGCTCCTGATTTTGGTAAGTGTCCATATTGACATGTGTAATTCAATGGATGATCTTGAGGAAGTGAAGTGGTTTTGCCACATGTAGAGTGCAGGAAGGTAGCAGGTACTGTTGAATAAGCAATCATATAGCTCTGTTTAAACTGGGGAGAGAGTTTACTAATATCTGTTGCCTGAGCGGCTAGCCTGTAATATGGTTCTGGATGAGAACCAAGAGTTTGGTTTTCCTTAAGACAAGGTAATAGACCTAAAATGGAAAAGAAAAATACAAATTACTTGCGGCTTCAAATGTTAATCATAACTGGTATTCTATTAAGAATGCTGCTTTGAATTTATATCTGCAAAAACATATCATTCACAAATAAACCTACAAATTAACACATTTAGCTAATACAATGTATGCTTTTCAAGGTTTGGGTTGATTATTTTCATTAAAAAATCTCCATTTCAAATTGTACATTAATATAACTAATTTCAAGTAAACTAAAGCATGGGAGTTGCATTCTTAAGGCAGTGTATGTTTGATAATACATTATGTTATGTTACCATTCTGTCTTTGTTCCATTGACATGTTTCCTTTTCTTATTCCATCGCCACTTATATCAGAATCACTGTCATTGAAGTCACTGTCCCCTTTACCGCTGTCCTTTCCACTAAATCCATCTTGAACTGGATCTAGAAAGCTGTTGAAATGGGAAAAAATAAACATACTTATTTTATACAGAAAAATGAATTGTAATAATAAAAGCTTGCATGCTATTAACAAACCAGGGAACAATGTTTAAAAATTGCAGTTTTGACTTTGATGACTATGATTTAGATTTAAATCCAAACACAAAGTATGACTGCAAAAATTGTCACTCACCCTCTGCCTTGTTGGACAGCAACTTCAAGGAAAGTTCCATGATTAAGAGCAGATTCTGGTAAAAAGCTCTGAAAGAAAAAAGAAAATACTTAGAACGAAGAAACTGAACAGCATAGCATAGCACTAAATTATATATACTCAAGATTAATTTATTCAAGATTAATTAATCAAGTTAATTTGGGGTAAGAAATTTCCTATTAATATAAAATCCCAGTTATAGTACCGAAGATCAAATACAAATGACTAATCCCATGCAGATAATGCAAATAATGAACAAATTCACGATGTTCCAAAAATATATTCGTGCTGTGCACAGATCAGTAATCACATAGGAGACTGCCCAACTTTGCATCATTTGGCACCTGTGCACTGCCGAAATATTTTTCAACACCTTATTTATGATTCATACAAAAAATGTTGTGCACAGTGTGAGCAAAAATGCTGTTTCCTTCAATGGATGTTGTTCTTATTGACCAATTTGTGAGTTCAGATTATTATATACAAAATAGATATGAATCCTTCATTGTGCAGGGATGAAAAGGAATAGCACCTGTTGATTACCAATAGACCCTTTTCCTTTGTAATACAATGTATTTCTGTCCTTAATGGGCTTTCCACATTAGTACAAAGACTAATCTACTTTGAAACATGCTATATTGCGTTCACAATATGGTAGTTTTAGACTGAGAGCTCAGGGAACACACATTTTACAGATGAACTGAAGGCAGTAAAGAGAATGTCAGAATGATTCATTTAGAAAGATACACTTAAAAGAGTGACACTGTTGTATTACAAAAGTGAAGGAGAAGTGTTTCCACCACTGTTTTCTAAACACATAATACTGCAGTTGGTGATGATAAATGTCATTACTATATGAAAACATCAAAGCTTTGCTTGGTTCTGACATCACTATGATGAACATGCTCCACTGTATTCTTTCCTTCTCAAATATGACTACACTTTAACCGATCAAGGACTTACTATCTGCGGAAAGTAATATGCCTCTGAAGCCACGCAAAGGGAAAAGTCAACTCTTTATAATATAAAAACAAACGAGTATAAAATGCTGACTAGCAAAATATATTGTTCCATACCTTATAGAATTATTGCAGCACCAACAAAAAATGTACAGTAAACTCTGTAACCACACTTTGTTGCATCATTGCACAAATTATTGATTGAAATGCCTGTTTGTGACAATACATGACAAACTCAATACAAGGATAGTATAATTCAATGTTAAACTTTTTAAATTGCGATGGTATTGTATAAGTTCTAATTACCTCCACATTATAGCTTGGGACTTTATGATCTGCTTCCAGTAGACAAACACCCTCTTCCCCCTCTATTGATCCTACAACTCCTGCACTTTCACAATCTTCCGATTCATTTGTCAAAGAAAATTCAGAAGATGAATTTGGCTGCATGTCAACAATTTTCAGTTGATCTGGCTCACTGATTTTCATCAGCCTGTCATCTTGGTTTCTTCTTGCTTCTAGCTGAGAAATGTGACATTTAGTCCCAAATGAACTGTCACTATGTTTGCCTGCCTTAGTACTTTTATGGCAAGTCGCCGACACTCCAATAATTGCCATCATTAACACAACACAGCCTCCACCGAGGAACATGATGATGATGGAGGAGATGTCCCAGGGCCGCTGTGTTTGGGCAGAGCTGCGGATGACAAGCTCTTGGCTGCCGGGAGGTGCTGGTGGCCTCACAACAAAGCTGACGGTGACTGTGGAGGACAGCGATGGTCGGCCGTTGTCGTGAACAGCCACGATGATCTTGAGGGCGGGCGGCCTGTCTTTGCTGAGGAGTCTGTTGAGGAAGATCTCCCCGGTCACGCTGTTGGCAGTGAAGAGCCCCGGGGGCTCCCCCGCAGGAGTCCGTACGTCAGCTGAGAATTCAGCCCCTCGTCAGCGTCCCGAGCGCGGATGCGTGTTGCCAGGTAACCGGATGGTGCGTTGCTAGGCAGCAGCACTGTCGCAGAGCGGTTGCTAGGGACGGGGTGGGTGACGACAGGAGCGTTATCGTTCTGATCGGCGACCCTCAGCTGGATGAGCGCTGAACTGCTGAGCTGTGGGGAGCCGCCGTCACTCGCCTCCATCCGCAGCTCCAACTCCTCCAGCCGCTCCCGGTCCAGCGAGCGCAGCGCATAGATGGCCCCAGTGGTCGGGTCCACAGACACCAGAGCGGAGACGGGGGTCCCCAGGACCTGCGTGTCCACCAGACGGTACCCGACCTGCCCGTTGGCACCCAGATCGGGATCGCGGGCCACCACGGTGGTGATGTAAGCCCCCGGCGCGTTGTTCTCCAGGACGGACACTTGGTAGATGGCTTTGGAGAAAGAGGGGGCGTTGTCGTTCACGTCGCTCAGGCGGATGGTGTACTGCCTGATGCTCTTGTAGGGAGGGGAGCCCAGGTCCTCGGCCACCACAGTCAGGTTATATTCCCCGATCCTCTCGCGGTCCAGAGCCGCCGTGGTGACGATCATGTAGCTGTCGGCATACGCTTGCTGCAGCTTGAAGTGATCGTGTCCGTACAGAGTACAAGACACTTGGCCGTTGGAGCCCGAGTCGCTGTCCGAGGTGCCGATCAGAGCCACGAAGCTGTCTTTGGCGGCGGCCTCGGTGATGTAGGCGACTCCGGAGCTGACGGAGGTCATGGGGGTGATGGCGATCTCCGGGGCGTTGTCGTTCACGTCCAGGATGTTGACGGTGACCTTGCAGTTGGCGGGGATGGAGTTGGGACCCAGATCGCGACCTTGAACATCCAACTCGTACGTTTTTCTGCTTTCGTAGTCGACGGCCCCCTCCAGGGTCAAACGGCCAGACTTGGCATCGACTCGAAAGAGTTGTCGAACCTCAGGCGAGAGGTGAGGGCTGAAGCCATAGACCACCTGTCCGTTCAGCCCCTGGTCAGGGTCCACGGCCTCCAGGTGCAGCAGCAGGAAACCCACCGGAGCATCTTCATGGAGCTCCACCAGGAAGGACTTCTGCACAAACTCGGGGCTGTTGTCGTTCCAGTCCAGAACCTCGACCTGGACCTTAGCTCTTCCCACCTCAGGGGGATGGCCCCCGTCCTGTGCGGACAGCTCTAGTGTCAGGTGAGCCTGACTTTCCCGGTCGAGGGCTTGGACCAGCACCAGGTCGGCGCACTTGACGCCATCGCTCCGGGTTTGCATCTCGAGGCTGAAGTGGCTGTTGGCAGAAATGGCGTAGTTTTGCAGATAATTGTCGCCGACATCGGCGTCGACCGCGACCTCGAGAGGGATTCGGGTCCCGAGCGCTGAGCTCTCGGAGATCTGCACCGACATCTCGGAGTTGGGGAACTCGGGCGCGTTGTCGTTGATGTCTCTGACCTCGACCTCCACGTGGAGCAGTTTAAAGGTCTCTCTGGAAAAGTTGACCACATCGAAAGCGATCAGACAGGGCGACGTGTCCCGACAGATCTGCTCCCGGTCGATACGGCCCCCGATGGTCAGGTCGCCCGCACTCTCTCCCACTTGGATCAAAGACGCGTTGAGCTTCTGCATCGGTCGGAAACTGCTCCGCAGATCATCATCGGCTGCGGTTATCTGCGCGTCTTCGGCCAAGTTTCCGATCACAGTGCCCGGGACCTCCTCCTCGTAGATCGAGTACCTGAAGGTTTTGCCGTCGGCGGCGGACACGACGGACAGGAGCAGCAACAGGGAGCGGAGCCCGGAGCGGGGCAGCGGGGCAGGAGCACACACCCGGGGGGGGGGCTTCCGTACAGCATTTGCACCGCCCCCGAGAGACAGAGACAGAGAGAGAGAGAGTGTGGGGTGTGGGGTGTGGGGTGTGGGGGGGGAACACCTTTTGAAGTGGTGGCGATGTGAAGTCGAGGGGCAGTGGATAATGTCGTCCCCAGTCAGTCAGTGAGTGAGTGAGTGAGTGAGTCAGTGAGTGAGTGAGTGAGTGAGTCAGTCAGTCAGTCAGTCAGTCAGTCAGTGAGTGAGTCAGTCAGTCAGTCAGTCAGTCAGTCAGTCAGTCAGTCAGTCAGTCAGTCAGTCAGTCAGTCAGTCAGTCAGTCAGTCAGTGATTCAGTCAGTGAGTGAGTCAGTGAGTCAGTCAGTCAGTCAGTGACCCTCTGGTCTCCTGTGGCTGCAGTCAGCGCCTCATTGCAGCTTTATTGTGGATTCCATGCAAATAAGCCCAAGTCCTGGCCAATCCCACTGACCAAACGGTGGTGGTGGGGGGGGGGGTTTGCACCATCTGTACCAGGCTTCCCCGCGAGCCGACAAACTCTCTGGTGTATTATTAAAGTACCAAATGTGTGTGTGTGTGTGGTTTTTTTAATTTGCTGCGGCAAGTTTGTTGACACGTCGAATTCCTCTTATCTTTGTGTTTTACTGTCTCCCCTCAAACCGTCGTGATCCACAGACACGTTGAAGCGACACAAATGTCAAGTCCCCCTTTTGCCCAAATAAAATGTGTTTCACAATCATCGCGGTCTGGATCCATTTGCTGGCAAAGAGCAGACATTTGTGGAGTCCTGCAGCTCAGTGGTTAGAGCACTCGCTTTGCAAGTGAGACACCTGAGTTCAATTCCAGGCAGATCAGGGCGAAACCTTGGGCAAGTTTCCTTACTCCACACGCCTAATAATAATCCCTCCAAAACCAAAAACAATAATAAATTGGTCATTTTCAATCTACGACTGTTTGTGGGACATTGCTGTGCACAATTGGCTGCCGCGTTCGCCCACAAATATGCAGTCAATTCACTTTACAGTGTGCTCTGTGAAGCGCTTTGGGACGTCCTCCCGACGTGAAAAGCGCTATATCAAATGCAAGGATTATTATTAAGGAGGCAAGAGCTTGTGCTAAACTTTGCCAAACATACAATTCAACAAAGCACTTCTGACACTTCCGTTCCCCAAGTTTTTTTTTTCCTGTTTGTGCCACACATTTTGCAAATCGTTTGGTTTTCAAGAAACAAGTGTGAAAGCTCATGAGCTGGGCCAATAGAAAAGTGCGGAAATATTTACCCCAAATTTGCGGGGAAATCCGATGGGCTCGCGGAAAATTGCGGGGGTTGGTTGGTGCTACTGAGGTTACATTTTACTGTTAATCTACATTTTTTCACTTCATTGGTTAAAAACCAAACATTTGGAAATAACACATATTACAACAACAACAACTTGCATTTATATAGTGCTCCTCACACAGGGTAGCATCCCAGAGCACTTGACAGTGATGGAGCATTATTCCGAGTTGCGGGGAGGGGGTAGTTCATCTTAGGTATAGTCGAATAGGAAAGTCTTCAGGCACGACTTGAAGTTGGGGAAGGAAGGCCGAGGGATCGAGGAAGAGTTTTTCTGAGTTTCGGGGCATAGTGACTGAAAGCGCAGCCATCAATGGTAGGAACGGAGGGCACGAGAGACATGCAACAGGTTGAGGTTTGGAGGCCAAGCAGATCGGGGAGGTAGGGAGGTACCAAAGCCTGCAGGAGATTTGCAAACAAGTGTGAGTAACTTGAAATCAATACGTTCAGTGATGGGGAACTAGAGGAGTTTGGCTAGAACTGGTGTGATGGGGATGCAGAGTTTATTATGGGTGAGTGTGCAAACAGTGGAATTTTGGATCAGCTGAATCCTGTGCAAGTGAAGCTGGTGGGACAATTAGATTGTTGCAAAAAAAGTCTTCTTTAACAAAAACTTGGTGATCCATTTGGGGGTGGGGGAGTGGTGTGATGGGGTAGTGGTGTAGTGGGTGGAGATACCAGCAAAGATCCAAAGGGCCTAGAGATCCATCAAAAAAATGGACACTCAGGATGAGTGTCCTGACTGCGGGGCTACAGGAGCTCACTATCTCGTGCCTCTCAGGGCCTGGACTTCAAACAGACACAGAGACACAGAGAGAAAGAGACACACACACTCCGAGACACACACACATTCACAGACACAGAGGCACACATACACACTCATCAACACAAAGAGACATCCACACAGACAGAGGAGAGAGAGATACAGATACAAATTCAGACAAATACATTCATAAACACACGCCACACATATAGAACAGATATAAACTCACAAACGCATACATACAGAGGAGACACATTCACTCACGCAGAGACACTCACAAACACGTACATACAGATGAGAGAGAGAGAGAGAGGGACATAGACACATGCAGAGACACTCACAAACAGACATGCATATAGAGGAGAGAAAGACACAGACACACTCACACAGCGACACTCACAAACATATACATACAGACGAGAGAGAGACACAGACACACTCACACAGAGACACTCACAAACATATACAAACAGAAGAGAGAGACACATCGACACTCACAAACACACATGCACATAGAGAGAAAGAGAGACACAGACACACTGACACTCACAAAGACATAGAGGAGAGAAACACAATCACAAAGAGACACTCACAAACACATAGAGAGAGACACACACAGACAATCACGACAGCGGGTCCCCTGAGTGGCGCGAAGCCTATTTCTCGCTTGCTTCGTACTGTGCATCCGGAGCCACTCCATCCACAGTTGTGTCGGATAAACAGCACGAGAGCCCGGGACCAGACACTTCATTTTATAGCGGTCTTATAAGGGAGAGGGATGTTTATAGCGCATTCTGTGGAAAAATTGCGGCTGCATTTTTCTATTGGCCCAGCTCATAAGCTAATCATTAAATAGTAAATCATTTAGACAATTGAATTAAAAATAATTTTTAAACAACAAAACATGTTTCGCTCACCAAAATATACAGTCAATTCACTTTAGAGTATATTCGAGACATCTCGCTGATAAGGTGCTATATCAAATGCAAGGATTATTATTTTTATTGATGGGTCACTTATTTTCAAGGAAGGATATTGAGGTATATGTTTGAAAGCAACCCAATAAGTTTATCGGTGTCAATAGAATGGATCATATAGCTTGTTCACCTAGTGAGGTGTTATTGCAGCTGAACGGACAATAAAAGTATACTATACTGTTTTTAATGCGAGACTTTAGTTGGATTTGAGTGGTTAATGTTCCATGGTAAAATTTCATTAAAATTGGACCCAATTATTGGTAGAAATGTGCAGAGACAGCAAAAAAACAACTTCCTGGGTTCTGAGTAAAACTGTGCTTGGAAGGCTTCAACACATAAATTATTCTTCAAACCATTCTTTTATACACAAAAAAGCACATTAAACTATAAAATACCACATTGTGATGCTTCATTAAGCTGGACACATCAACTTCTCAGCTCCTGCCTCTGTGTTTATGTGAAGCTATTGATTTCCCTCTTCCAAGTATTAGGATACATTCAGATCACATCAACGTGTGGACAAGGCAGCATGATACTCTCTGAAATACAGTTTGTTAGTGAAATGACACTGTCCCATCATATTTGTCCACTTTTTGCCTTGGACCAGTTTCCACTTGATGAGTGGGGGGGTGGGGGGGAGGTGTTAAAGGTTTGATTAAGCCGGGAGGTCATTGCTGTGAGTGTATGAGGGGCGGGGGTGTTAAACCATCTGTCACAAAACTGAAGAAAGGCAGCAAATTGCTAAGTGCTCACATACCCCACATGATTGTTACTAAACACCTTCATGGCCATCATGCAGCAAAGCAAGAGCACTTTCAAGAGGCATAATGCAGCACAACACTGGTTGTCAGTGAGGGATACAAGTAAATAGTTTATTGTTCAACGAAATATAATAGAATAAATGGATGCTGTATTTTAGTTCTTTAAACTATCTCTCATGCTGTTTCACATGAGAATTAAATGTATTGTCTTTAAAGTTTATTTTGTCATCTCACGCTTAGGATTTGTGCACAGAAACATTATTATTAACTGTTATTTATTGGTGCTTTTTAAAGGAGTGTCAGCATTTGATGTTCGCTCCTTTTGTCACCCTCTGTGGCTGACAGCTGATACAGTAACATTTGGGATCTCTGCAGGGATGCAAGGTGTTGGAGACATGTTGCCAATTTGCACTAAAAGTCATCAATGGAACTGACAGTACATGAGAGAAGCAAGAGACTTCTGTCTGAGTTGATGAGAGCCTCTTGGCATCAGATGGGGCTTTCTACTATCTGAAGCCCTGCAGGGAACACTTTTGTCACTTATATGTAAAATACAAATAAAAGGAGATAATGCCTTTATAACATTCCTGAACTCTGGAATAACCTCAATGTGGGAGAGAAAACAAACCCAAGCCACGTATAAAAGAAAATGCCACAAATGGAAGGAATCCACACGATTCAAATGAGATGAGTTTTTGAAAAATTAGCATGGGTGCATTCAATGATTCCTTTTTTTAGGAATCCTCTATATACTACAGGACAAACGTTGGACAAGTTTCCTTACTCCTCATGTTTCTGTTTACCTAGCAGTAAGTCGGAACCCAGTTGTTAGTCGATTGGCGGATCGCTTTTCCAGACGTAATAATTTGGTCACTCAATCCACGACTGTTTGTGGGACACTGCTGTGCGCAATATAGTCTATTCTGTGATATATACTTTACAGTATATTCTGTGAAGCGCTTTGAGATGTCTCGAAGACATGATAAGGAGCTATATCAAATATCAAATACAAGGATTACTATTGTTACATGGTGCCACACTTGTCATGGCCTTTCATGAAACTGATAATCGACTGTCCTAAAGTTTTTGCTAACATTTTTAAAAAATCTTAATCTTTTCACCTTGTTTGTTTGTCCCTTCCATTGTAACGCATTGGAACCCCTGCTTCGCATTACAACAATTGAGATAAAGTTAATATGAGGAATGTGTGGATATTTTTGTGTATAACAAAATAAGACTTTTAAGATTGCAATGCTGTAAGAAGCAAATCTTAAGTTTGAATTGGGAAATATTTATTTAATTTGCTACCTATGTTGATCAGGAACTGAAACCAAATGGGTGAAACCAAGCACTCTGCAGCAGAAGCTGTTGCTTTTAATTGGCAGTCAATCTTCTTACATCAAATGCCACTTAAGCATCACATAGACTTTTTAATAGCTTTTTTGGCTGGGTGAGGTGGGGATGGAGCTTTAAAATTAAAGTGAAGTAACTGAACACCAGAACATTCTATCAATGCAATGAAGTTGAAGAATAATTTTCTTTCTATTGTGTATCATTCCAGATCATTGGAGGTTAGCACAAGACATGTCTCAGAGGAACGAGGTACAAGTCAGCATACCCTTCATCTGTTGTATCATTTATTAGGTTCAGTGAAGGTTAATGGCTTTTGAGAGTAGTAGCAGTAGCATTTGTTTGTCTTGAATCGATCGCAACTTTGTCAGTGTGTAAGTCCACAAATGTACCAACTCTCATTCCCTTTGCTGGAATACTACTTCTAAAACAAAAGAAAAAGTGACGAAAGTAGTTATCAAAAATGGAGTTTCATTTGTGAGTTGTGTTAACTATGTGCAAACACATTTGTAAAGAGGGTATTACAGATATAATCTATTTCATTGGTTATTAAATACATAATTAAGAAC